TTAGGCTCTATAGGGAGTCAGCGCGTGAACGCCATAGAAGCGAAGACATGCAGCGGTTCGATCGGGCACTGTGGTGCCAAGTCACGCCGGGCGCATAGCTCTGCTAGGCATTGTTCCACGTACCTCAGCTGAATAGATACAGTAATTCTTTATCATCAGATAAATTAACCCCATGCCATACTATTCGTACCTAATGACAGAGGGCAATGCTATCAATATTATTCAAGAGTTTATAAAATCAGAGAGCCAATCACAGACATCTTTCTAAGCTAATCCTACCAGACGAGAGATCGCCCACTCGTCAACATCGAGCGAGTTTTGATTGTACGGCACGAATTTAATAATACCTTAAGAAACAATTCAATCAGAAGTTTTTCGCCTGCAATATATAATAATATATGTAGCGTACTGGCACCCCGGGTTCTGTCTCGCCCATATCACATGTGGGCTAAGCCAGCGACTTGTCTCGGTAAGTCGAATCGGTAGCCCCTTTATCGTCGGGTTTTTTAATCGTCAGCAATGATATTCGTACCTAAAGACTGTAAGTAAAGACGTGGTAGCTTAAGATTCAAATCATAGTAGCGGATTTGAGATGACTTTGATAGTACAGCTAAATAATTTCTATTATCTTACAACTGTTCAGCGGGACAAAAATTCCGCAATGGACTTCTCCAGATGTACGTAATTCGACAGAAAATAAAATATTACTTGAAGTATAACAGCAATTCGATATTACTTGACTGAATTCACCTGACATGACGTTTCCTATAAGAATGGCGTAATCGTCTTGTCGGAACAGGCGAAATTATTTGTATAATTTCCCATGAAATGTAACCAAGCATTGTAAAATTTCCTTCTACCTAGTATATACTGTTTGAAAAACAAACTCTGAATACTTTGAAACTTCAGTACCAAGTTCGAAGAAAGTGTTCTTTAAAATTTGTCAATGCGAATGCCAAATGTTTGAAGGAAACATGTTGGTTATTTCTTCTATATCAAAGCTTGCTTAGTTTCAGCAGATCTCGCTAGGACTAAACCACTAACGTTAATTTTTATGACGCACAAGTAGCTACGTAGCAAACGCAGCACATATCCCGGCCCTCGTCACTAAATACCCTATAATAATGGTCAGAACCACAACTTTAAGTCTTAGATTCCCTCACAATGATAACGACGATGTTTAGAACTCGCTAGAAAGTTATGGCTCGGTTCTCTTTTCACCGTAGATCGTTTCTATTGAAGGCCGGCGACTCTAGTTGCTGTGGTGAAGTTTTCGGCACTGGCGGTAGAAAATCTGACAGCTTCATAAAGTCGAGCATAACTGCCTTTAAATTTCAGCCTCTTCAAATCATGCGGTTAGTCAAGGCATGCATTCAATTAAGAATATTCGTTTTCACGGAAATTAGGTATACAATGGAGATGGGCAACGGTGTTAATGATTGTAATAATACCGTGGAAACGAGGGCAAATATTCCAATGGCACATCAATGCGTCAAGTCCGAAATCCACAAAGATAATTCAAAGCTGTCTGATGGATGGTGATAAGAAAATAGCGTACCTGCGTACGAAATGATAAAAGTTTAAGACAAATGCGTAATGATTCCACTGAAGGAAACATAGTAGTTCCAACTCACTGAATTTGGTGAAGACCGGCACAAAGGAATAGAAACATTTAAAATACGGATGTGATTTATTTAATTGACCAAATGAGAGAATAAATTTTCAAAGCAAATTCGTTGCACGGCTGGATGGGAAGCCGGCAGCCTATGAACTGACCACAATAAAGATGGCGGGAGCGATTCCGCCCAATCTGAGATAACGCCTTTCAAAGAGGATTCAATTTACCCAATCGATATCTATGGCCAATAGTTATTGCTTAGTGATGCTTATAGAATTTTATACGCAGTAAGAAAACGCAAGCAATAAGCATAAACAGGAAAAAGATGATTGCAGGGCAACATACGAATAACTGATGCTCATTTATTCACTCCTAACACTTTGGCTCACGAAGTATGGTAAAAGAAATATATACATAATTATAATAATATTGAAAAAAAACCTAGATGATCTACTTGCTAAATCAAAACATATATCAGCAGTAGCCATGCATTAACAATTCTATCATGCTTCCATATATACAGCTTTGCAAGGCGCTCATCTAAAGACCAAATGATCACCGAATAATATTATAAAAGAGTGATATTAACGAGAATAACATTAACGGATTTTTAGTTCAATGCATTTGTCGATTCTTTATGTTTGCATTTGTCGACATTTGTATGTTTTTTGTCGACATTTGTATGTTTGCATTTGTCGACAGAAGAATTCTTTAGGATTTAAATGCCCCAAAAAATGCCTGGAAATATTATTCCGGTTAAAACACACCATTCGAGGTAATGGATTGAACAAATATTAGGATCACGATATTCGAATAGCTTTTGTGTATGCTAATTGTTGCCAAGTCATGAATTCCGAGCATTTCTGCAGTTTAGCACAGAAAAAGAAAAAAAAATCTGCCTGTCTCTGGACGTGGAAGTCACCCCCGGAAGCTTTTGGAGAAATCTGGGTTACGTTAAGATAGCAGAGTTTTTTTCTGTAATTGTTTTCTTTTCCACGTTTCATTAACGTTTCGACGTTGCTTTCGCATGTCTGTAAAAAGAATCATGTCTATCACGACCTAATCCCAGATTCTTATCCTCGTTTCACGGAGTATCTCTCAAGTTAAAAGACTGGCTATCGGAAAAAAATTCGCTACCTACTAGACTGCCGAGTGCCTCGATCAATTCTGTTCAATTCCCAAGCAAGCCTTTGTTATGATGATCATAGGAGCCTGAAATGAGAACGTGACGAGAATTAGTTCTGTACGATATGAATGCGGAGAATCAGTCAAATAAGCGCTGCATTAATTATAGCCATTAAATATCATTGAGTTCCGAAGTGTACATACAAGTTATTGGTTTGTTGGTGGGTCCACAAAATTAATTAGATTCGTCCATCAGTGCTAAATTCAACCGAATAAAAAAATTATTTATTTATTGGATTTTACACGTTGCTTGATTTAGAATAGTGTACTGTAATTACAGGTTTAATTATAAGCCCAAAACTTATAGCGACTTGCCTCTGGCCATACACGTCTAGCCCGTTGTCGACCAATGTTAGATAAGAGCCAATGGTCAATTAAGTGCTGAAGCCGAGCATGCCAGTGATACACGGCTGCTTGAAGTTCAAATGAGGCACGCCACTCCACTACAGGCAAGGCAATTAAAGGCATGCACGAGCAAACTGTCTGGTAATAGACGGGCATAATGTTCCACATCTCATTCTAGATCTTGAAAGCAGCAGATTAAACTTGAAAGCAGCAGATTAAACTTGAAAGCAGCAGATTAAACTTTCCTGCGAGCATTCCTGTTGAAATTTGGTAATGAATTTCTTGTTTGTGTCCCTCTAAACCTTATCTTCTATGTTTCATTCAATTTTTTTTCGCCGCGTTAACCAGCAGCAGCAGTTCAAGTCAACGCTATGTCAACGTTCGTCACTTCAATCATTCAGCTTTAATTATTTATTTTCACAAAATGTTAAACGAAATCTTAACACGCTTCTAGAACCCATGTAAAACACGCTTCTAAAACATGGCGACAGGCCACATCAGGCCTACACTTCAGCGCCGAGATCACTATGTTATGCAATTGAAATATTAATTGCCTTAAATTTCTCCGTCGAAGGCGCAATCTTCTATTTAGTCTATTTTCGTACCGACCAACTCTATTCCCTCATTCTAATGAAGCGGAGGTATGTCCAAAACAATATTTTTCAAAATTAAATTGCTGATATTCCAACCTCTTCATGACAGTTCGCTTACATTTCATTCGCCCAGTTTAGTAAATAATTTTGTTCTCTTTTTAGAAAAAATTTAAAAGATTCAATTAAACTCACTTATTCTAACATAAAATCTTTCCTCTCATACCACCGAGCCATTACATTGAATCGTCCCGTAGCCAGCGAAGACCGAGCTTAGGCGCCAGACACTGCGCTTAATCCTCCCATAATCGGATAGCGGATAATTTCCTGGACGAAAAGCGAGCCTTGCAATGCTTTCCGGGGACCGACGACGTAAAGAACGACAGACCGAGGCTCGCAGGTCCACGCGTGTACACTGTTAGAAATAACGGTGAAAAACGGTCCCACTGGCGTTCTAGTGGCCGGTCGCCCCGCGAAAATAAACTGTTTCGCTGTTATTATCAGATATTTTAAGGATTTCTAGTGTTAAATTAGAATAAAAACGGCGACACGGTGTTTCTTTTCCCGTGCCGACCGGCCACTGAAACGCCGGTAATACCGTTAACGGGAATTTTTCTAACAGTGTATAACACGAGCTCTTGCTTCAGCTTCGACATGCGTGGTGGTTTAGCCTGGTGGGCGTGAAAATACTGGAGAATTTTATTGGTCGACTCCGTAGTAAATTTGTAAGAGAGTTTAGTAGAGTTGTTGATTTAAACTAAATATCAAAGAATTAAAGGCGAGTAACAATTGAATATATTTTTTCTGATTTCAATCTCGAGACTATATATAGTTGCGCCGACTAATATGTTGCCAGCTGCACCATAATCAAAGCGTTCAAGATATCATATCCGCGAGAGTTTTCGAACTGACTCAGGAGTTCATAAGCGTTAGGGCTATCGAAGTATTTGAGAGCGTATATATATTCATGAAAGCATTAAATTGGTCAAAATCGCATATTCTTGAGAGCTATCAAAATGTTTGAGACGATGTATTCGTATTAGCCTTTTGTAGGTTTTAAGATCTAGTCGTACTCAAATCGTACTCGAAATAAAATGAGACGACCTCTATTTTCCCTCACAGAAAACACAAGAATTTAATTTTTGAGATTTAGCTACGTAAATCTGTAAAGATTCCAACGAGAAATGGATTTATACTGAGTGATGGTCAAGAGCGATGCCATCAATCAAATGATGGAATGGATAAAACCAACTTCTAATCAATCAATGATGTCCTAAACGATTCAATCGTCTCAAGTGTCCCAGTTTGGATGACCATCCAGCCGTGTCGCAATCAAATGAATTTGCACCAAACATGTCCCAGCCAGATGACCACGTCCCAAACATGTCCCAGCCAGATGACCACGTCCCAAACATGTCCCAGCCAGATGACCACGTCCCAAACATGTCCCTACCAGATGACCACGTCCCAAACATGTCCCAGCCAGATGACCACGTCCCAGACATGTCCCAGCCAGATGATAACGTCCCAAACATGTCCCAGCCAGATGGCTGTCCAATCATGTCCCAGCCAGATGGCTGTCCAATCATGTCCCAGCAGCGCTTCACTACAGACGTCGTCTCCTGCCAATCAGTTAAAGTGATGCCAGATTTTCCACCCTCAAAGCCGGGTCTAACTTTCACTTCGAGTGCGCATAAATACGCTCCCCATCATTACGAAAAGCTAGCAAAAATCGGTCATTTATTTACGGTTTTTAGGCATCAATCAAGAAATACTTCTACTTGCACAGTACTTGCACCTACTACTTGCACAATAATGCGCATAAATACGCTCTCCGTCATTACGAAAAGCTAGCAAAAATCGGTCATTTATTTATGGTTTTTAGGCATCAATTTCAAGCAGCAGAGCTTGAAGCATCCTTGACCGCCGAATATTATCAGAATATCCATACATTTTCTCGCAAATAGTGAAAATGTGTAGTAAAATAAAATATCTGGATGAGAATTGTAACAAAAGGTAGGAGCAGCCTGATATGAATCTAAACTAATAACAGTGAATGTGTGAGAAGATGAGAAATGAAAATTATCATTTAGAATGATTAAGCAGATGATAAACCTAATTAATAATAGAAAATGAGAGAAGTGAATCGAAGCTAATCTAATTTCTAAAATATGAATCCAAAATAGACATAGGGGATGTTTTGCGACATAAGAATCAAAACTAATCAAAAAGAATATTCTTGCGTGATAAAATTTTGTAACGCAATTAACTAACTTAATTGCAATATTAAGTATCGTTTTAATCTGCGAAAAATTAAATTAAAAAATTTATATGAATGAATAATGGAGAACTGCATAAACTTTATTAATTCAAAATTAGCATGAAGATAACTTCAAAATGAGAAAACATCACCCGAAAACTTGGAGCGCAGAAGTTTTGGAGCAGGCGTTCCGCGGAGCGGGGCGCCCAACTTTCAGAAGAAAGTTCTCTGAATACAGAACTAAATTCCCGGTACAGAGAGTCGTGAGAACGCACGCGGCTGTTAACAGCTGAAGGAGATGAGGCTGTTAAGAGCTGGCAGAGATGGGGCTGGTAACAGCTGCCAGAGATGAGGCTGGTAACAGCTGACAGAGATGAGGCTGGTAACAGCTGACAGAGATGAGACTGGTAACAGCTGACAGAGATGAGGCTGGTAACAGCTGACAGAGATGAGGCTGGTAACAGCTGACAGAGATGAGGCTGGTAACAGCTGTCAGTTTAAGGACTTTTGACAGTTGCAAGAGATAAAACAGTGAACATCTGTCAAGAGGTTAGACTGTTAACGGCAGCCTAAGATATGACTGTTGATAGCTGTCAGAGATGAGGTTTTTAACAGCTGCCACGAATAAGAATGTTAACAGCAGCAAGAAATAGCACTTTTAATTTAGGGCTGTTATTATAGGAATAGGAAATAGGACTGTTAATAAATTTGGCAAATTGTTAATTATAATACGTTATTTAATTCTAAGTTATTAATGTTTTTTCTAATGCCACAAAAAATACTCATAAAAGAATTTAAATATATTTAAGAAGTAATTAAGTAACCATTAGAAAGACGCTTCCAATTGATTAAATTTACAAATTCTGAAAAATTTCATCAAACAGAGCTGTAATATCACGCCTTTCGGGAAATATTTAATGTCGAAATGAAGTATTAATGTGAATGTATAAAAACGTGAATAATGTTCAGACTTTGCACGCGACAAAATAATATTTTTTCACAACATCAAAGGCCGAGCGAGGCAGAGTCCGTTCATCCTGTGTCGACTTGTGCGGTAGTGCATTTTGTTGCGTTGCAGCGCAGCCTTCACACGGAATTAAAAATCTGACCGTGCTGCAGGTCTGTCCATGTAAAGAGTGCTTCGAAAAGTAAGTTGATAGTCTTTCAACCTTTTATATAAAATGACCAAAAAGCGACTAACCTTTTATATACGGATGAATAAAATGCAGCGACGTTTGCGTATCTACAGGTCTGGGCCTATACTTTCAAAAAAAATTAAAAGATCGTAAGTTCATCAGCCAATCATTGACGGCCTTTGGAGCAAAATCCACCAATCAAAGACAAGAAAATAGAGCGTAAGTACTTACGTTCACTTAGCGAGTTTTGAAATTATGGCCCCTGGTGACCAGAGTTATCGTCAGTAGACATCGAGTTATGCTGATATGAGATGAACGTTGGTAAGGTGAAATCTTTCAACCTACCAGCTAGTAGACACTCGTGGACTCAAGCTGCAACAACAGTATTGTTCATCTAAAAAGATGAATGTTATAAAGTGATTCATTTACCAGGTTGACAGTTAGAAGGAATGAAACATTCACCTGGTTTAGAGTTAGGAGGAATGAAACATTTAGAAGGCTTACAGTTAGAAGGATGATACATTCACCAGGTTTACAGTTAGAAGGAATGAAACATTCACCAGGTTTAGAGTTATAAGGAATGCATGATAGCCTCTTCTCCAGTTAAAATGTATACAAAAGAATCTTTTTTTTAATAAATGATTCAAAACCATCAGTGTGCAGATTTTAGACAATTTAAATAATGGTAACTTTCTTACCATGCTAAATAAAAGCGTACAAAAACCATGTTGCAACGAACTATAAAGAAATGTTAGCAAAATGTGAATATAAAAGAAAAACGGAAATTCAACACGTGCAGTTATAAGAGAGATCGAGACGACTGTGGGAGCCGTTTACATGAGCGCCTTTGTAGCCAATGCTCCAGGACGAATGCAAGCGAAGCCGTTGTAAATCTCGTGAAGCTTTCGCAAGAAAATAAGTACACACTTTGCAGTGAATCTTCTCAGCCACCGAGCTTTATTCGGGGCTGAGCGAAACGCATAAATTTTCTTGATGGAATATGACCACGAAACAAATATTTAATGGCTGTCACCGGTGGATTGCATTTACTTCATAGGGACGTTCTCCCATGATTCCCCCAATGCATGTTTGATGCTACCATCGCACTTCGGGCACACCTCAGAAAGTCGAGCTGTACGTGAATTTTTAACACGAAAAACGCTTGACGAAGCGAAGAAAGTTGAGCCGTAGAACGAGCCGACGCTTCAAGTTTCGTTATGAGAACTCTGGAAAATAATGTCAGGCCTTTGTACAAAATCGCCTACGTGGTTTTTGCTGAATTATGTGTCAGAGATTTGTCACTTCTGGAATCCTTTTTCACCTTCGCACAAAATGTCATATAAGCTTTAGTCAGCATATTTACACACCGCGACTTTGGTCAAAGTCAGAAAAAATGTCAAAAATGTCTTTGGAATCCTTTAAGTGACTTCTATGCTCAAAATGTCATATATGAAATGTCACCTTTGCACAAAGTCGCCTACGTGGTTTTTGCTACCAGAATCATGCGTCAGAGATTTTATTTGACCCGAACACACAGTTCTATTTTCTACCTTTAAATCAAAGTAATTTAGAAACTCAGTCGTTAACTAAAAAAAATGATATTAGATGTTCCAGATCTCGGGCATATAATAAGATAAATCTTCAGTACTTCGATTTAGGAATTTCATCTTAGAATTATGTGTCTTTGACAGAACGAAAAAGCGTTGAGAACTCAGGCATGAATCTAAAACAAATTAGGGACTAAGTGTCTCAAGATTTCAGAGAGTGTTGAATACATCATCGATTTTCAACAGGATTTGTGAAATTCAATTCTGCTTATCGGTTGAAATAATGCGACCAATCCCATGCTTTATGGCGCAGAAGAATCACCGCGTACTTGAATTCGCCTAAATTTCGCACCAAAAATAATTCGTTAAATCTGAATAATGACCAAATTCCGACACAGATTTTTGACCGAGGGGACATAACGCTCAACATTTTACAGAATATTCCAAGCTTCTAAAATGAATATCCTACTATAGGGAGAAAATAATTAAAATGTCCCAGAGTTCACAAGATTTCCCCCTCTCGCCATGTTATGATTTCTGAAATGCATCATTATTGGACCAGTGACGTGAGGGTCCGAGGAACTTCCCTTGTTCATGACCGGCCCGAGGTTCATTGAAGTTGAAATAATAAGCGAACACTGCAGCCAAAGTCATAAAGAAAATTATATTTGTTACCTGAGCGCTTACAAGGAAAATGTTAAATAAATGATGATTGAAATGTAGAGAAAGGGATCCCTTTTGCAGAAAAAGTATTTTAATTTGATACTTGAGCTTGTATAGTAGAATAAAACAATAAATAATGATTGAAATGCTATAAGCATAGAAATCGAGTTGCAACAAAATCATACAGAAATAAACCAATAAAATATCATGAAACTTGCTGATTGATGCAAGGTGTGCAAAGTATTGAAGCAGCTTTTACTATAGTACACTAGAATTTTTTCTAAGACTCTGGGCAATGAGCGAGCAGCATTATCCTTGTAACTAATTATTTGTAAATAATTATTGCCGAATAATTAGCTCTCACAGTCTTTAATAAGTAGTAAATATCTGAGATAATTGTTTCATTCGTACCTACGTTATTGCTGTTCAATATAGACATGTGTTCTTGCGTAAAGACTTCGGTTAAGATCAGAAATAAAATTGAATGCTGCATTGATGACTCAGAATATTAATAGAAATCTATCAAAACAATACTTCAAGTATGTTCGCATTTAATGAATATTTTTTTTTGAGAAACCATCGTCGTTACAATACATTAAGAAATAAAAAATGGAAATAAAAGAAATAAACAACGTAGTTCTGCTCGGAGGTTGCACAAATAAATTGATGTTATCACGAAACCTTTAACAAATAAACAATATAAAAGGAGGATGAATTATTTGATAATCATTGAAGATAACAATTATAAAATAATTATTATTGAAATTGTTTTATATGATCAACAAAAATATAGGAATATTGTAATTAAAGCAATCGAATTTAGCACTAAAATTAAGGTAGAGATTTTATAGTCCAGAATCTCAATGATGAAGAGTGCAATGGAGATGAACGGAGGAACAAAGATGCCTAGAGTGAGAAATTGGGATAAAGAATTTCAATTATTTTCCAAAATTTATTACAACTCGCGAAAGAAGCGTGGAATT